GAGCCAAGGTGGATGACCCGAAAACTTAAACATGACATAGGAATAAAGAAAGGAATTTATAAGAAATTAAAGGGAGGGGAGGAGCAGCTCAGAAACAGGTATAATGAACTATCTAGGAATGTTAAGAAAAATGTAAGGAAAGCAAAGAGACACTATGAAATCAGAATAGCAAGAGAATCCAAGGCGAATCCCAAGGGATTTTTCCAGGTACAGTATATAGAACAAAGGTCAAGGACAAAGTTGGGCCTTTAAAGTCAGGGAGGGGAAAGTGTTTGATGGCAGTGAAGAAATAAGCAAAGCATTGAACAGCTATTTCTTATCAGTTTTCACAGAAGAAATTCGTGAGGAAATTCCAGAGGTGGAACTGATATTTAGGGGAAAGGGAGATGAGAAAATAAAGATATCACTATCAGAAAAGAGCATGTTCTTAAGAAGATAAATAAATTAAGAAAGACAAAATCCCCAGGGCCGGATGAAATTTTCCCTCGAGTCTTGAAAGAGTGTTGGGAACAGATTAGCGGACCCCTCGTAAATTTATTTACAAAATCATTAGACATGGGAGTTGAGTCAGACTTGTGGAAACAGGCAAATGTAGTACCCATATTCAAAAAGGGAGACAGAGCATCAGAGTCAAATTACCGGACGATCAGTTTGACGTCAGTAGTGGGGAAATTTGATTCAATTATAGCAAATAGCATCCGATCCCATTTAGAGAAAAGCAAATTAATCTACAACTCTCAACATGGGTTTACAAAGGGAAAATCTTGTCTAACAAATCTGCTGACATTTTTTAGGAAAGTCTTCGAGGTAGTAGAAAATGACGAAAATTAAGATGTTATTTACTTAGACTTTAGCAAAGCATTTGACAGAGTACCGCATCAGAGGCTTCTGAGAAAAGCTAAGGCGCATGGTATCGAGGGGAAAGTTTTAAATTGGATAAAATCATGGCTCACCGATAGAACGCAGAGGGTCACCGTAGACGGTGTTAAATCTGAGTGGGACTGTGTAACCAGTGGGGTTACCCAGGGGTCAGTACTAGGCCCACTCTTGTTCATAATCTACATAAACGATCTAGATACTGGGATCAGCAGTGACATAAGTAAGTTTGCTGATGACACCAAAATAGGGCGGCAGATTAATTCAGGGCAGGATGCAAATGCACTACAGGAGGATTTAAATAAACTGCAGGAGTGGTCAGAAATATGACAAATGAAATTCAACACCAGCAAGTGCAGCGTACTTAATATTGGAAGAACAAATACTGTCAATGTATACAGCCTTAACAACATCAACCTAGAGAAGTTGACTTGTGAAAGAGACTTAGGGGTACTTGTAAGCCCGGACCTACGGCCTAGAAAACAGTGCGTTAATGTTCGAAATAAGGCAAACAGAGTATTGGGTTTTATATCTAGAAGTGTAAGTAATAAGAGTGCAGAGGTCTTATTGCAACTATATCTTGCGCTAGTCAGGCCGCACCTTGATTATGCGGTTCAGTTCTGGTGCCCTTATTATAGAATGGATATCAATTCACTGGAGTCGGTGCAGCGAAGAATGACGAAAATGATTCGGGAACTTAGAAACCTACCATATCAAGATAGGTTAAAGAAACTAAACTTGCATTCCCTAGAAAGACGAAGAGTGTGGGGATATGATAGAAGTATTTAAGTGGGTGAAAGGAATCAATAAAGGGGACACAGATAAAGTTCTTTTAATATCCGAGCAGGATAGGACTCGTAGCAACGGATTTAAGTTGGATAAGTTTAGGTTTAGGAGGGAGATAGGAAGGAACTGGTTCACAAATAGGGTTGTGGACGAGTGGAACAAGCTTAGCAACTTTGTAGTAAGTGCTGGAAAGTTTTAAAAGGAGGCCTGATAGATTTATGGATGATAGAGAGTGGTAGTAACTCTCGACAGGAGCTGCCCTGCACAGGCCAACCGGCCTATTGCAGATTCCTTATTTTCTTATGTTCTTATGTGTGAGTGTGGATGAGGGGTTGTGTCATGGGCCTCTGTCTCATCAACAGAACATATTATATAAATGGGTCAATACATCTGATAATATATTCAGATTCACCCCCTGTAACTTTCCACTGTCTACGAGTAAGACATGAGTTGTACACATGAGAGGGCAACTCTCCCGTGAGGGTAGAAGCCCATCGTTAGCATATCTGTAAGCCCGCACAGCAAGGCCCTTACTCAGTAGTCACTCACAGCAACTTATATCGTAAGGACGTGAGCTAACGTTTATATTACATAAGCGCCGTCCCTTTCTCATTCACTCATATACAGTGGAACTTACGGTTGATCTACACTCAGGAATTATAGATACATTCCTTTTATAATAAAACAAGGAACTACAGTTTGGGTTTCGTTACTTAAACCCAAATAATAAATATATGTGAACGGCCTGGTCAATTGGACAATCAAGCCGATTCAGGTGTGTAATAATAATAATAATAATAATAATAATAATAATAATAATAATAATAATAATAATAAACGGTTTATTAATAGAGTTGCAGCCGGTGGCTGAAAATATACAGACTTACATTTGATTTAGACATACAGTAATGATATAATATGAGTTGAATACATATACAGGGCTGTACAGTACATAAATCAGTTGTTGTTTTTTATTTTAACAACAGATGGGATGGTGCTGTTCTTATATCTATCGGTGCGGGCTCTTATGGGCTGAATTTTGTTGTAGTGGTGGACTGCGTGAGGTGGGTGGGGGGCTGCAGGTGGCAGGAGGTGGCGATGACAAGGGTGGTGCAGTAGGGTGTGTGCGTGCGTGCAGGAACAAAGGTGTTGGCAGCTTCCACCACTGAACTGCAGTATGCTGATGACCTCACCCTTGTTGCTCACACTTAACGCAACATTACAGGAGATCCTGAACACCAATGCAAATGCATATGCACACTTCAGCCTCGAGTGAATGTACGTAAGACTCAGGTTCTCTTTCAGCCTGCCCCTGGTTCAGACACACCTCCACCATCCATCCAGCTTAATGGTACTACCCTCTCTAATGTTGCCCACTTTCAGCATCTCGGCTCCCACCTGTCCACCACTGCACTCATTGATGAAGAGATTCAACATCGGATCATATGTGCATCTCAAGCCTTTGACAGACTCCGTACCCGTGTCTTCAGCTGTAGAGAGCTGAAATTATGTACAAAGTTACACGTATATCGGGCAGTGGTCCTCCCCACCCTGCTATATGGCAGTGAGACATGGGTTGTATACAGGAGGCACCTGTAGGAGCATCGAGACTACCATTATCCATGAACAACTACGTTGGACTGGCCATGTTACCCACATGGCTGACAGTAGACTGCCAAAGCAGCTACTTTTACAGTCATCTAACAAAAAGTAAACGTAATGCCGGCGGCAACTGAAAAGGTATAAAGATAGTCTCAAGACAAACCTGAAAAAATGCCAAATCAACCCCCTCACTTGGGAGACAATTACTCCATACTGTAACAGTTGGAGGAGCAAGACACAAGGTGTCAATACTTTTGAATTAGCCCGACTGCAAACCGAGGCAGACAAGCGCCAGAAGGATGCTGCTGCTGCCCCTCCGGCACTAGATGGAGCCATCCACATGTGCAACATCTGTGAATGACTTCCGGTCCCGTATCGGCCTCTTTAGTCACCTTAAAACTCACCAACCTAGGTGACATACCACTCATATCATTGTATGTATCATAGCTGGATGATTGTCATACTCGATTCGGAGTGACAGCAAAGTACAGTGGTCTCTCGATTAACGACGGTCCAATTAATTAAATTTCGGTTGACGAATTAGCTCCCATAAGGATTTTCAATTCCATTAACAAAAGCCTTACGAGAATCAGCTTTGTTGTGCGCATCAGATGATCAGCTAGTCCGCCAATACAGTAATTGGTTTTATGTTTACATTCGTTTCCAGTGGAGTAAATATCAAGAAAGTTGTGCTCTTGAAAATTTAACATTTTTTTACATTAAAATTATTGGTCATTCTGAAATTTAGTTCACATATTGATAATATACAGTGCAGAAATTATTATGAAACATGAAGAAGACATTAGAACCAATGCACTCTGTAAAGAATATGGCATGTCATCATAGACTGCTTCCACCGTCAGCGGTTTGATGTGAACAAAATTGCAGGGAATAGGACATACACACATCAAAGTACTGTAAGCTAAAATACAGTACTGTACTCTATTGTTTTTTATTTATTATTATACAGTATACTGTACAGTACAGTACTGTATTAAGTTTATATTTAATGTTTTGTTAATTCTATTACCGGTACAGTATACAGTACTTTGTATGTATACTTTTACTGTGAGTTGGAACCAATGACCCAATATCCCATTGAAATAATAGATGCAGTTCACGAAATTTTCGGTTAACGAACGACTCTGTGGAACCAATTGCGTTCGTTAATCGGGGGCCCACTGTAGTAATAGTAGTGTGTGTGTAATAAAAATAATAATAATAATTGACAGTTTATTGAAAGAGCATGGCAACCAGAAGGCTGAAAATATAGTTACATATTGTAATTAGAGAATAGGTCACTTGATTGATAAATAATATACAAGTAACATATGTGATACAAATTTGAGATATAATAACTTGGTGGGGAGAAGCTCAAACTACAGGGCATTTCAACACAGTGACAGTGCAAAGAGGTAAGATTGGCTGGGAGTGAACACACTGGTTTTACTACGAGTTGTTGATAATATTTACAATGGTTGGGACTGGGCTGTTCTTATAGCAATCAGTACATGCTAGTATGGGCTGGATGCAGTTCGCCTGTTGAACAACTATTCGTGGACGAAGGATCTCAGGTGGAAGTAGGAGTCGGTGTCGAGGATGGTGCAGAAACTTCTCACCAAATTTGCAGATGAGGTCGTGGTGATGGTCAGAAAGAGCCGAGAAGGTCAGTGTGTTGAGCGCTTCTTATGTGAAGTAGGAAGAGGAGAGAATAATGTTGCACTTTTTCTTGGTGTTTATGTTGTGTGGCATTTAGGGGGAAGACCAGGTAGGGGAGGCATAGGCGAGCTTAGGAAGTAGGAATATGTGTGTGTGTGTGTGTGTGTGATGTTCTTTATGGCAGGAGACTGCACTCAGTGTGGTACTGAATGAAGCAATATCCAAGACACAGAGGCACATGTAACTTGTATCCTTCTTACAGCCGTGCCTCAGGTAACACAGCAGCCGTCTCCTGTCCGGGATTCTCTTTCGGCTGTGTTGCATCAAGGCGTCGGTCTGTATCCAAAACTTTACGTCGCTTGGCCTGTGGACCCTGTCATCACCTTGCCTGAGATGCAGCTGAAGGTGTGGCAGAGGGGCCAGGAGCCACCAATGGAGCAGTGGTGGTGGCAGGTGTTGTGGCAGGTGTTACAGCAGCTGTGGCAGGTGTTACAGCAGCTGTGGCAGGTGTAGCAGCAGTGATGGCAGAAGCAGCGGTGGTGGCAGGTGTTGCAACAGTGGAGATGTTCGACAGGTGCCTGGCAGCCACGGGCAGTTGTTATGACTTATGAGTGTCAGTTGTATTCCAGTCTCTACAGAATAAACATGTCGCTCGCCACTCAATTCTCCTTACTCCCAGACACTGTACAAGGTTTAATGTTTTATTATAATCTTATCATGTTATAATAATTCATTAATATATGTACAGCCACTAAAAAAATTAACATTCCTGGGGAAGGGAAGGGAGGGGAGGAGGCGATGAATTTCAGAATGAATACTGTGACTCAGTTGTCTCATTAGCGTCATAAAATTTTCATCCGTTACGTCACATTTCTCACAATTTTGTAAAGATTGATTTTAGAGCGACCAAGGTCGAGTCTACCATGAATATCAATAACAATAACAGTTTCAGAATTCTTCCTTAACAAATTCTAGTTCTTCCAGGCACTCCATCTTTAAAGAAGATTGGTCAATTATCTCAGGCCCTGGTGAAGCTTCTGTCTCACAAATGACTGAGAGTGGATCATAATTAGTTTCCTTTTTCACTCCTTCAGAAACACACATCTCCACTGTTGGTTGGCAAGACAAGCTCAAGTCATGGTGCAAATCCTGGCAACTTTCACCTTCATAGTGATGAGAGTTGACCACTTGGTCAGTCTGGTAACATCTCTCTACATGTAATATTAAACTCTCTTTCTCTATAAAGTCTTTCATGCATCTTACACAGTGGAAAGGTTTTTCTGAGTGAACTTTCTTGTGTCTTACTAGGTTAGCCCTTTTAAAAAAGTGTTGATGACATTCAGAACACTGATAAGGTTTCTCTCCTGCATGAATTCTCTCATGATTTATGAGAGAAGCTTTTTGTGAGAACCTTTTAATACACTGTGAACACTGATAAGGTTTCTCTCCTGTATGAACTCTCTTATGATTATTGAGTGAAGATTTATCTGGGAACGTTTTAAAACAATCTGAACACTGATTAGGTTTCTCTCCTGTATGAACTCTCTGATGATATTTGAGAGATTTTTTAAGCGAGAACCTTTTAGGACATTCTGAACACTGATAAGGTTTCTCTCCTGTATGAACTCTCTTATGATTTATCAGTGAACGTTTTAATGAGAACCTTTTAAAACATTCTGAACACTCAAATGGTTTCTCTCCTGTATGAAGTCTAGTATGTCTGTCTAACTCACATTGTCTTGGAAATCTTTTCGAACATTCTGAACACTGATAAGATTTCTCTCCTGTATGAACTCTCTCATGATTATTGAGTGAAGATTTATGCGAGAACCTCTTTATACATTTTGTACACTGATAAGGTTTTATTCCTGTATGAACTCTGTCATGTTTTATGAGATTATTTTTATGTGAGAACCTTTTAATACATTTTGTACACTGATAAGGTTTCTCTCCTGTATGAACTCTCTGATGATTATTGAGTGAAGATTTATTTGGGAATGTTCTAAAACATTCCGAACACTGATTAGGTTTCTCTCCTGTATGAACTCTCTGATGATATTTGAGAGATTTTTTACATGAGAACCTTTCAGGACATTGTGAACACTGATAAGGTTTCTCTCCTGTATGAATTCTCTTATGATTCATGAGTGAAAATTTTAATGAGAACCTTTTAAAACATTCTGTACACTCAAATGGTTTCTCTCCTGAATGACTTCTCATATGTGCTTTTAAGTGACTTTCTTGTGAAAATCCTTTAAAACATTCTAAACACTCAAATGGTTTCTCTCCTGTATGAAGTCTCATATGTCGCACTAAGTGACCTTTTTTGCTAAATCCTTTAAAACATTCTGAACACTCAAATGGTTTCTCTCCTGTATGAAGTCTCATATGTCGCACTAAAGCATCTTGTCTTTTAAAACATTTAAAACATTCTGTACACTCAAATGGCTTCTCTCCTGTATGATCTTTCACATGTGTTACTTGATGTGATTTTACAGACAATTCTGTGGGAGACTCTGACTGTTCCTCTGAGTGACCTTCCATTATAAAACTGTGTGTACTGCGTGATCAAAGGTTTTAGTGACACTTAACTGGCAAACTGTTTCCTCCTACAAGAACTATTAATGTCTTGTTACTGTTATTTATATTTGACAATGAAAATTGAAACATAAATCAATAAGTGAATGTGATTTACTGACACTGATGTAATGATGCTGAGATAGGAGGACAGTGAGGAGGTAAGTGTGATGGAAGATCCAGTTTGTGATGTGACTACACCATTATTAACAAGGTTCCTCTATACCTCTTTGAACTAAATGTGAAAAATGGTGTAAAGAATGAGTTACACATATAACTATACTTGTCATCAACAAACACTGTTTATGACTTACAACATACACTATAAAAACACTCAACAGGGAAGTGTACAAAAATTATATACTGTACACTATTGTTATATGTACAGTTCCTCTGATGTACAGTAAACAATAATACTCAGGCTGATATACTACTGTACTTGTGATGGCTGGTAAACAATAATACTCAGGCTGATATACTACTGTACTTGTGATGGCTGGTAAACAATAATACTCAGGCTGATATACTACTGTACTTGTGATGGCTGGTAAACTTTTACTACATGTGACAAAAGTCTTATGAGGGGGTGAATCTATACACAAGTTTTGAATTATTTCAAAACATATTTCCACAAGGAAGAATAATTTCTTGTCTACTTGTAATTCTTTGGTTCAGTTGGTAATACTTTGTCTATGTCCACTGTTGTTTACACCTGCACCCAACATAGTGTTCTCACAGTCTACTGCTTCTCTTCCCACTGCCATTTGTTCTTCAGTTCATGTCTGTGGGAAGGAAAGTCAAACTGTTACATATGTCAATGTATTTACATAATATTAAGATGTGTGCTGTATATTCACTTTGTATTAGTCACCGTTGTAAGGGAGCAGTTTTCTATGAAGCCAATACAAAAGCTATACAGTATGTATATCATTTGTAATATACAGTGATCCCTCAGTTAACGAGCGCCTCGGTTAACGAATTACCTTCCATAAGATTCTTAACTTCGGTTAACGAGCAATCCCTCAATTAACGAGTTTCTTACGAACGCCCCTCAACATGTTTTCGCTTGCATTTGGAGGTCCACCAGCTGTAGTATTAGTCCGCCAATACAGTAATCGGTTCTAGGGCTTAAATTCCTTATTATTTTAGTAAATATCAAGAAGTTTGGACGATTCAATAATTTTAAAAGTTTAATATTAAATTTTTTAGTAACTTTAACAATTATTGAACATAATTGAAGTACAGGAAACTAGTTTTATGCGCACCAAACTGCCTGTCAACACACCAAACAGGCACCAGTCTCTGTCTTTTCAGTGGAGGTAACATCTTGCTTGAGACTCTCTTCAACATAAACGCTTTTTTTCTGTGTTACCACGCAAATTATTGGTGATTTTGAAATTTATTTTACATAATGACAATACATAATGCAGTGAAGTGTTGATTTAAAGAAAATAATCTTGAATTACACCAAGTGAACTAAAATTTTATGGGTGAAATAGCGCCATGGGGCGATTCTCTTCCACACCAATGCTTTCTCTTCTCTCTTCTCCTCCACCCCCATTCTAATTCCCATCATCATCATCATCATCATCATCATCCAGGAGCCTTCTACATACACACCTCAGTGTACTTTACTACCTTTTTTGTTGAATTTAGGCAATTTTCGGTGAGCTGGAACCAATTACCAAAATCTCATTGAAATAATGGTTTCGGTTAACAAATTTTTCGGTTAACGAGCAACCTTCTGTAACGAATTGTGCTCGTTAACCGAGGGACCACTGTATTACAGGTAGTTAATTTTTTTAACCGGATGTGAATTATATTGTTTCTATATAATTTCTAATATTTTGTTATCATATAATATTATGTACAGTATTTACATAAAAGTTTTGATTTATGAATACATTGATTCTAATTGTAAAAGATGTACAGTACAATGTTTGTTTGTTTAAATTTAGAGCCCTCTTTCTCTGGTATATTATAGCATGCACATGTGAGACAAGGAAAGTCACACCCACACACCCCCAACACGACCCACACACCCACAACATGACACACACACCCCCAACATCACACCCACACACCCACAACATGACCCACACATCCCAATATCATCCAATACCAGTATATATCTATCCACACACACACACACACACCTACTACTATTACTTTGCTCTCCCACGAAATCAAGTATGACGATCATCGAGCTATGATACGAGTTATTAAGGATATCACCTAGGTTAGTGAGTTTTGAGGTGACTAAAGAGGCCAATACGGGACCCGCAGTGTCGGCAGCATTCGTTCCACATGTGGAGGGCTGCATCTAGTGCGGGAGGGGCGGTGGCAGCGTCTTTCTGCCGTTGGCGCTTGTCTGCCTCGGTTTTCAGTAAGGCTAACTTGAAAGTATTGACACCTTCTCGTGTGAAGCTCCTCCAAGCGTTATGATGTGGAGTAATCGACTCCCAGGTTAGGGGGTCGATTTGACACTTTTTAAGGTTTGTCTTAAGACTATCCTTACACCTTTTCAATTGCCCACCACCGTTACGTTTATTATTCGTTAGGTGACTTTAAAGTAGCTGCTTTGGCAGTCTACTATCGTCCACGCGGGTATTATGGTCAGTCCAGCGTAGTTGTTCAAGGATAATGGTAGCCTCGACGCTCCTACAGTTGGTATCAGCAAGAATACTGGCATTTGTTCTCTTGTCTTCCTAGCAAACTCGGAGGATGGAACGTAGACTATGTTGGTGAAAGTTTTCAAGTGCCTTGAAGTGCCTCCTGTATGTGACCCATGTCTCACTGCCATATAGCAGGGTGGGGAGGACTACTGCTCGATATACGTGTAACTTTGTTGAAAATTTCAGCTCCCTACAGCTGAAGACACAGGTACAGAGTCTGCCAAAGGCTTGAGATGCACATCTGTTCCGATACTGAATCTCTTCATCAATGTCTGCGGTGGTGGACAGGTGGGAGCTGAGATACCGAAAGTGGGTAACATTAGAGTGGGTAGTACCATTAAGCTGGATGGATGGTGGAGGTTTGGCTGAACCAGGGGCAGGCTGAAAGAGAATTTGAGTCTTACGTACGTTCACCTCAAGGCCAAAGCGTGCATACGCATCTGTGTAAGTGTTCAGGATCTCCTGTAGGTCGTGTTCAGTGTGAGCAACAAGGGTGAGGTCGTCTGCATACTGAAGTTCAGTAATGGAAGCTGCTGACACCTTTGTTCTTGCCTGGAGTTGTCTTATGTTGAATAGATCCCTCTTCACCTGGTACTCGATGTTCACCCCGCTGGCTAAATTGGCACTGCACGAGTAAGGAAGGCAGCCAAGAAAATGGAAAAGAATTGGTCCCAGTACACACCCTTGTTTAACCCCTGTTTGGATGGGGAAGAGCTCAGACTGGGTGCCGTTGTGCAGGACACTGCCGTTCATGTCATCGTAGAGTTGCCTCACAATGGTGATGAATTTTGGTGGGCAGCCATAATGGCTGAGGGTCCACCAGAGGGCTTCCCTGTTGACCGAGTCGAAGGCCTTGGTTAGGTCGATGAAAGCCATGTATAGGTCACGACGCTGTTCTCTGCACTTTTCCTGTATCTGGCGGGCAGCAAAGACCAAGTCAGTGGTGCCACTTCATGGTCAAAAACAGCATTGAGATTCTGGGAGGAAGTTTTCCGCCTCAGGAAGGAGTCTGTTTAGGAGAACTCAGGCGATAATCTTGCCAGTTACGGAGAGCAGCGAGATCTCGTAGCTGCCACAGTCTGGCCGGTCTCCCTTGTTTTTATAAACATTGACAATGGAAGCATCTGTAAGAGCTTAGGGGATTTTCTTCTTTTCCCATGTATTCTCCAGGAGAGAGAGAGAGGAGACGGCTGGTAAGCAGAGGTCGTCCTGCTTTATACACCTTGAGTGGGATTCCATCAGGTCCTGAGGCTTTGTTATTTTTCATGTTTAATGGTGATAGCTACCTTATCCAAGGATGGAGGGCAGCTGAGGTGGGTCAGCTCTCGATGATGGGGGACCTGCTGGGTAGTCAGGACATCCACATCGGTGTTTCGGTTAAGCAATGAATGGTAGTGCTTTTTCCAGCGCTGAAGGAGGCCTTCATTGTCTTTAATTATGAAGTTACCGTACAATGAGCGGAGGGGGGCTGCGCCACGAGTGGTTGACCCATAAAATGTTTCAATGGAATTGAAAAATTTGCACATCTTGTGCTGATCTGCATGTTTTTGTGCTTCACATGCTTTATTTTTAAACCAGTCATTCTTTAGATTGCAAAGTTCCCTCTGGGCTGTCGCTTTCTTCTTGCAGAAGGTATCAGCTTTGGTCCGACACTGAGTGTTGTTCTGTCAGTCAGTAAAAGCAGCATGTCAAGGCTAAGGTGATCTCAGACCACCTAGTCAGTGATCATTATGCAATACTTACTGAATACACTGTTGCTGATGTCAAGTGTGAACCCCATCCTAAGCTCAGAATTAACATCCCAGATAATCTTAAAACTGCATTTCAAGGCCTACATCCACAGATGGTATGCTGGATATACACCTGGGTCAGTGGATGAATTTTGCTGTGATCTTGTAAATGTCATTACCACATATTATACCACCTGGGTTAAGTCAAGGAGGGAGGGAAGCACTAAACCTCCTTTGTGGACACATGACCCCATCCTCACCAAAGAAGGAGAGAAGGTAGAACAGCTTGCCAACACTTATAAGCAAAATAAAACTAGTGATAGCCTCCTGGCATTCCTCAAAGCTAACAGAGCATTTCATGAACTCAAAGGTCAGGTGAGAAACACCTATTGGGAACAATTCTTACAAAGGATTAATAGAACATCCACTCTAGCAGAAGTGTGGAACAAAATTAGAGCCATTACCAAGTCACTCACCCCAGTCCAACTTCATCACAGCCCTGCAGAATATGCTGACATGCTATTAGACCAATGGTCTAGTGTGTCACAAATCACTTCCCTGCCTCCTGACATACAGCAATATCTTAAAACCACACACATTAATAGGGGTTTCAATATTGAAATAGTCTGTTCCTCACCAGACCTTACTGACCAGTTTCCTATAACGCACCACAAACTAAAAACAGCACTAATGAAAGGTGAATCATCCTCCCCTGGTGAGGATGGCATAACCTATAACACCCTGAGATTGTTAAATGAGATCCCTAACCATCCACTGCTTGATCTGTTTCAAATAAGCCTCACACAGGGTATTCTGCCTAAGACATGGATGTAAAGGCCTGGGACTTAGGGATAGAAATCCCTTACCAGCCTAATCAGGATCTTATAAAAGGAAAGTCACGGACCATGGTTTTCTGAGGAATAACAAACAATCGCTTGAGATTGACATCTCTTTACTATAAAAATATAACACAAAACTCTGACATCACTCAACAACATGAAATAACAATTACGGGAGTCAAACAATTAATGCAGTCAACAGTTAATGGAAGTCCAACAATTAATGGAATCAAACAATTAATGGAATCAAGCAATTAATGGGAGTCAACAACTGATAATCAAGCAATAAAAGGGAGTCAGCAATGAATGGAATCAAACAACAATAGAATCAAACAATGAACAGATATTTCCCACGGCAGTGGCCCTGGGGAAGGTTCTGGAACGCAGTGATCCACTCTCAGGGGGAAGGTCCAGTCAGCTCCTCACTTGTCCTCGGCGTCCGATGTCTTGCTACACAGGAGAAACACCGGGGCACAAACAGTGGAGATGGCGTGGCAGTCGCTGTAGTAGGTGTCCGGAGATTGACAGTCGATTTGTG